TAACCGAAATTTCTCCCTCGGGGATAATTATAATATAAAATGTAATTTATTTATTTATTGTATTCATTTATGTGCTGCTGGGGAAACAAGAATAAAACAGTTCATAATATGCAATTTTATGGCGTACTCTAAAGATACTAGGATCTTAGTGAATAGAAGCATTTCTTGAAAACACTTTCTTGTATGATGACAAGGCTGATTCTGGTTGACTAAACGGCCCTTACAAAAGCTTTCTTTGAATGCTTTGCCGCAGTCAAGGGAGAGGACCCTCAACACTTTCCTTGGATTACGCATCGTATGACTTTTGTAATCGGGGATCTGAGGAACAACTGGGTGATATATCTGTTTGTTGCTGAGTTCGCAAATTTGAAAGCAAATCCTCTTTTATTCGCAACTGTATTTCTATGCAAGAACTTTGATCCCGTTTCGGGCTATTCGGATTGAAATGATTTGTTAATACAGAAGTTGTGATAAAATAATTAATTGAGTTATAAAAATGAAATAGGAAATTTATTATTATTACAAATGGTTTGTACTATTATAGGGGAAGATATTCATTGTAATTTTAATGTTGTGAAATAAACTCACGTTCCACCTGAGAAAATATGTCTGTGTCACTTTGAAGTAATCTTAAGACTACTTCGCAATGAAAGAGGGTTGTTGTTGTTGTTGTTGTTGTTTTTGCTGCAGTAACACGACACACTCAAATTGGTACATGTATAGTTCCCACGCATTATGCAGTAGTCCCGCCGGGTCCAAGAAACAACGAGACATTATTTTAAGTTACCGCCTCTTCCTGACCGCTCTCATTGCAGCAGATCGAAGCACACTGTACGCATGTCATGTAAGATTATAAGGAGAAGCCTGATGAGCATTTAATGTTGTCCACCAATCGGCCAAGACCAGTCAAGTACTGATAGGGACATTCAACAACCTGTTAACGTCGTCTCTTTGGTTCATCCTACGCCAAGCACGCTGGGCCTCTGACTTTGAGCAAGACTCTCAAACTGTCAGTGACACGGGATATACACGTAATCCTATTGTGTGGCATCCTGGGGAAAAGAGGCTCTCGTCAGAATAATGAAATGGAAGAAACAAACATTATCCCTTCCTTTAAGCTATTTTTTAAATCCAATTTTGGCTCAACACCTACCTTTTCCATGTCATGTAAGACAACATTTATGAGTGGATTTTACGGAAATTGCTAATCAAAGTTACAAAAAAAAGAAGTAAATTTTCAGTTTCCCACATGCTTTGAAAGTCACCAAACTTTGACGGCAATATTCTAGCTACTTTTACATGTACTCCAGGAAACGCTATCAACTTCAATCGCAGATATCTCGATTTCTCTTCAATATAGATATAGCCTATATTTTCCCCCTCAAAGCAAGACAAATGAACTCGCTTTAAGGCGATACCAGTAACTCCTTATTCTTAGAATTTGACGCACGCCGGATTTCACCGTGCCGTGAAAAATTATAGAATCATTAATGCGTAATCGCATTTGAAGAGAAGACATTCCTTTTTGATTGAGAATTCGCTTCGGTCGTATAGTGTAGGCCTTGCAACCAAAAGGTTTTGGGTTCGAACCCCGTCAGGGGCCCGACTTTGCGTCCTTGGGGAAGGTACTTTGCACGAATTTTCCTCGCTTCTCGGAAAATGGGAATGAGGATCTAGCTATGGACAATGGAGAGCGAAAGATCTCGTCATTAAATTGTCAGCGTTTGAGCTCACAACTGGCTGTTTGCATTGCTTGCCTTCCGGGTCTGGGATCTACTAGGGTATTCATGATATATAATAATAGTATTATGTGCTCGTAATTCTTAAAGCTCGAAAGGTTTTGCTGCTGAATGAGGACATGCGCTATACAAAAATGCTATTCATTCATTCATTCATTCATTCATTCATTCATTCATTCATTCATTCATTCATTCATTCATTCATTCATTCATTCATTCATTCATCCATTCATCCATTCACTCAT